TCCTTGTTGCATGTGGGTGTATGTGTGTGTGGGCTTGAGATTTTTTTTCCTCCAGCCAGGATGTCTCTCTTTTTACGCCCCGCTTTCCCCTTTATCCCTCTGCCCGCTCCAATTGAACCTAATCCGGCTGCTAAAGTATTAGCTACGTAGTTGTATGCTCATCCCGGCTGTCCAAACTGCCTTATGCTGCTTTTGTTGTTTGCTGGCATTTAGCAAAAAAACAAAAACAAAAGAGCCGAGAAAAGGACGAGGCTGGAGAAGGAGGAGGAGAAAATCAGTCGGACAGAAGTGACGTTTGTAAAAAGTTTTTCCTCTGCAAGTGGAAAAGCGGAAGTGGAGGAACTGCAGCGTCCACTTAATAACAAGGCATCAGCCGCTGGACGTCACTTGGCATACTAATCCATGGCACAGCCCACTTGCGCCGCCTCCCACTGAATTAAGTGACCAGCCTTTAGTCTATGGGATGCCATATATTGTATTGTAAATGCTGTCACATGGGGAAAAATATCTATACCATCTGTAGGCTACAGGATATAAATTTAATGGAGAAAATACAGAATTTATATATTTTTCAATCACTAAAATGTTAGTGATGTTATTCCAGAAATATAAAATTCAGATATTAAGTTAAACATTTTTAAACTTCAAACCCTGTTAAATTTTTCCCTGTGCATCCTTTGGGGATTCTTAGCTGCATTGCTGCACCTGCCTTGCCTTCCAGGCAGACAAAGTCGCTGCCAAAGTGGACAGTGAATGGACAGCAGGGCAAAGACATTAATGACAGCCAACATCAATGAGTGTCGGGTGGCGGTGAAAAATTAATACAAAACGACGTTGACAACCGGGTAAAACAAAGGGGTTTTCTACCCTCCAAACTCCTCTGGAGTCCTGGCAGGCAGGTGATGCTCCCTCCGATGGCTTGACTCGGCGTCAAACATGGCGTATGATTGATTTTCCAGTCGTAAACTATGGCTGAGCTGTGAACCAATGTGAACCAACGCCAGATAAAGCGGCAAATAAGCTTCAATAATAATAAAAGTTATAAATCTTTTGCATGGTCTGCGGAGGACAAGGCGAAGTCCTTCCAAAAGGACGACGACGACATGCTGCAACGCGGCGATAATAACAATTTATTGCACAAGCACAAACACACTAGCACGCACACATGAGAGGAGGAAAATGCCGCGAGACACGATTGCAACAACAAATGGCAAAGGACAAAGCGCAAAAAGCGAGCATAAAAACCGCACAATAATAAAAATGAACAATGACAGGTTAATAGCAAATAAATGAAAGCCCATAAGGAGCAGGAGGCCGGAGCCCTCGAAGAGGAGCAAGGGAAAGCGGGAAAAACCTACCAGCCAGACAAAGGAGATGCCGATGCCGATGCCTCCGGTCCAGACTGCCAGCCAGCCGACAAACTATCCCCTTGGCCTAGGCACAATTGATATATAGTTATACCCGTTACTCGTAGAGTAAAAGGGTATATTAGATTCGTGCAAAAGTATGTAACAGGTAGAAGGAAGCGTTTCCGACCCTATAAACTATATATATTCTTGATCGGGATCACTAGCCGAGTCGATCTAGCCATGTCCGTCTGTCCGTCTGTCCGTCTGTCCGTCTGTCCGTCTGTCCGTCTGTCCGTCTGTCTGTCCGTCTGTCTGTCTGTATGAACGCTGAGATCTCGGAAACTATAAAAGCTAGAAGATTGACATTTTCCATGCAGATTCTAGGAGTTCCTACGCAGCGCAAGTTTGTTTCAAAAGGGTGCCACGCCCCCTCTAACGCCCACAATCGCTAATATACGATTTTAAAAATTTCAATATTTTGGAAAAGTAAAAATGCAGTTTTATTGTGTTTATCAATACCTATCGAAATGTAGAAGAAATTTTTTAAATCGGACCATTCGTTAAAAAGTTACGGCGGATCAAAGTTTTTCTCCATCTCCTTCGCACTCCCTTTAGCTGAGTAACGGGTATCTGATAGTCGGGGCACCCGACTATAGCGTTCTCTCTTGTTTTCAATTTTAAAAACCATTGAGCAGCTGCAGCGCGCAGAGGCATTCTGGCAGAAAAAATGCCCAAGATATAAGGGAGCACGCTGCTGGCATATTTAAAAAACATAATAACTGCAAGAGGACGAAGGACGAAGGATAAGCGATAGAGCAGCAGGATAATGGCAGCAAACGTACTTAACAGCCACCACTATAATAATGACGATAATGGGCGATGAGTTAGCGGCGGCGAGCAGGTTGACAAAATGCACTCGGCATGCAATGCACACACAGTGCCTGCCAATAATAATCGTCATCATCATCATCGTTATCATTATCATTAGGGAGCCGCAGGAGGAGCAGAAGGAGCAGCAGAAGGACCTCATTCGACATTCGCACACGAATCGGTCTTTGTGTCTGCTTATGGAAGCGGAAAATGCATTAACTCAGCAGCAGACGCCGAACTGAATTTATTTTCCACTTTAAGGGTGATTTTCTGGTACTCTCTGAAGCTCTGAATTCATCAGCCTAATTACAGGGCTCTAATGGCTTCTCCAGCGCAATTTCCAATATATTCAAGGTCTTTTTTCCGCAGAGGCCCTAATTTCTGTAGCTATATAAAATGGTAAACATTTAATATGCTTATTTATTCAATTGCATTCAAGTGGAGCGCGGGGGCAAAAAAACTTGTATATGCAAATCGCGGGAAAATAATATAAATAATTTCCATTATGAAAGCAGCTAAATGGTCTTCAAAATCAGCCATAATCTGCCAGCTCGGCGCGCTCAATTTTATTTCACTTTATTATTATTTATTTTATAATTTAAATATGCCATATTTAATATATGATAGGTGTCGCAAGCCGCCTGCAAGCGGATTAAATTCGACCCGCCACATTTTATTAAATTTTCGATTCGTTTGCAGAGCGCCAAAGTGACAAAGAGAAAAATCGATCACCTGTTTAAAGTTGGCCCACCCAACTAGGAGAACCCAAAAAAGTTGGGAGGACAACAATGGCGGGGCTACTTGGCAGCTGTGCCAACGCATCAGTCAACGTCCTTAGCGTCCTTCGTCCTTAACAAAGGACGACATTCGACGGTTGCGACACTCAGACAAAAAAGGGAGCCACTTTATAACAGAGCCTGTAGCCTTTGTCTGTTTGCTTACTTGCTAACTTTCAACTAGCACATTCTTGTGTCGTTCGCTTTTGGCAATTTGTTTCTGCATCCTACAAACGACGAATTCAATTGAAAATTTCAGCAGACACTCGGCAAATTTAAAAACAAATTTGCCGCAAAGCAACGGCAGCAAACTTGCGAAAGAAACTTTTCTTTCCACCAGTTCTTCAGTTCGATTTTCAATTCCCCGTCCTGGAAAAGCTGGTCAAGTGTGGACGTGCGTTTAAATGTTACGTATACGCCGCGCTGTCCGCTGCACTTTACTAACTCTCTCGTCTCGTCTTGCACTTTTCACTCTGACTCTAAGCGAAAAAAAGGAAAATAAGCGAAGAAACAACAGCAGACAGACAGAAGGACCACGCCCCCTTCCCTGGTATTTACTTTTCCGCCCACGCCGTCTGTTGTTTGCCTTTCCTGCCAGCGAGTGTGTTTGTTTGCCTTTCGTTTAGTCAGAATGCCAACTATGACAAAATCGTAGAATCAGGGAGTCGAAATCAAAATCGAATCGAATCGAACCGAGTCGATTGACTGAGCCAATGCCAATGTGGAAATTGTCAATAATTTCAAATTGATTTCTATTTGATTTAGCAGAGGCAACAAAGGCAGACACCTTTGCCACTATAATTGTGATGATACGGATAGGTGGAATAGGTTTTGTGTTTGTGCCTGAGTTTCTTTCTTCGTATTCTTAGAGGCTAAGTGAAAACGTAAACTTTGACAAACACGCGGCCTAGTCGTTCTGAGGCCAAATAACATTAGACAGCTATTAGAGGCTTGGCCGACTTTTACGACGAGACCATAAAAAGCATTACTTGAACTGCTCGAGCTGCTCGTAAAACTCGTGAAATTTGTACGGACCTGCGACTGGGACTGGGGACTTGGGACTGGAATACGCAGCCCATAGGCGTAGGCAGGCAATAAAAGCCAATCGATAAGTGCCCAAAGTGTTGGAGGTACTCGTAAACAAATGGGGCGAGCCCACACCTCAATGGGGAACATCCATCCATCGCTCATCCATCAGGGAATCGTCAAAGGAGTTCCCCAGAGTTGGGCCACGAATTTATTAGCTGGCCCATCAACATATCGATTATGTCAATTACGCACAGGAAGCGCTAATGTTAATGGGGGTATAAGCTCAGGAATCCGATGGGAGAGGTTTTCAAAAGTGACAGGGGGTTGTGAACAAAACAGTTGCTGAAAAATACATTTAATTCTTAATATTTGGCAGAGCTCTATTAAATGTTAATTATATTATTTTAAAATCATTAAAATCAGACAGAACTCAATGCTCAATAAAAAATCAGATAAATAATGTTTTCTGCTATTTTTAAAGCCTCATTTAAAGAAACAAGACTAACTTAATGATTAAATTATAAGTATGTTTTTATTATTTATAAATACACCTAGACCATTAATTAACGTATTTAATTGCTTGGTAGTCGCCTAAAATGACTTTATTCGGCATTAAAATAACTTGTTCAAAATGATATCTAAATAGCAAGAAAGATTGATTAAGGTCTATTATTGTAATTATTGAGTTTATTGAGAAATCAATAGAATTTAAAAGGAAAAGACTATCTGAAAGGCTCTTAATTTTATTTTATAGTTTCACAGAGATATTATTTTTCCCCTTGGAAGATGGTTGTGGTTTTTCCTCTGAAAATATTTTATTTACTACTTGGAATTAAAAGGCTTTCATTTCAGAAACTTTCTCCATGAAGATAAAATATTTTCTTTTTAATATATATATTTTGCTGAATATATTTATAAAAATTTATATAATTTTCCTTTTATATGTCAAGATATGTTTTTCAATTCTTTAGCTTACCCTGCTTGGGCGAGATGCAGAGCACCTGCTGCTGCGGCGACTGCTGCTGCGAGTGGATCTGGTACTGCTGCTGCTGCTGCACCACCACCGCCTGCTGCTGGGCGGCACAGACGGCGGCGGCCACCGCCTGCTGCTGCTGATGGTGGGCGGCTGCGGCTGCAGCGGCGGCAGCTGCGGCGGCCTGCTGTTGCGACTGCTGCTGCTGGTGCGGCGACTGCGACTGGGGATGCTGCTGCTGCTGCTGTTGCTGCTGCTGCTGCGTGGTGACGATCGTCATCTGCTGCGGCTGCTGCTTGCCGTTGGGTATCTGCTGCACCTGCTGCTGCTGCTGCTGTTGCTGCTGCTGGGGGGCGGGCGCCTGTTGCTGCTGCTGCTGCTGCAGGTGCGTCTGGTGGATGGCCAGCAGCTTTGTCTCGTAGGGCTTTCCGTGGGCGGCGCTGAGCGTCATCTGGGCGGTGGCTGGCATCATCAGCGTGGGCATGGCCAACATTTTAGGGCTGGCGTGGTGCAGTGGTAGTGGTGCTACTACTGTTGCGGTGCGGAATTTGCACGTTCTGCGGTCGAACGCAGCTCGCTTTGACTCTGATTCTGATTCGGATTCGGTTGCCTAATGAAGTGCGCCTGCCGCCTTGCAGTTGATGATATAAATAAATTGTATTATAATTTGGCTAGGTTTTTGCTTTTTATTTATTTTTAATGGCCGCCTTTTTGTGTGAAACCGCACTGTTGTTGCTGCTGATGCTGCTGCTTGTTGTTTGGTCAAACGATTTGATGCATTAAATAATTTCTACAATTTTGCTAATTTGGAAAATGCTGCCTTTTTTGTGGTTTTCCTTGCCGTTTGTTCCGCTGCGTGTTGTTTGTGGTTTGGTTTTTAGTTTTTTAGTTTTTAGTTGTCATAAAAAATTTCCTCTTTGCTTGACCTTCACTTATCACAGACCAATGAAATTTGTTTTCGAAAAGTTCATTTGGTTTTTATTTTGGAATTATGTTTCCAGACAGAACCCAAAGCACTCAAGGCAAGTGGATTCCTTTGGTTTTCGCTTTCTATGGAAAAAAGCACACAGAGTTGTGGTTGAAGCTTGTCAGAATATTTGTACTCAAACAATATAAATATTCCGCAAGCTGAAAATCATGAGTATAAACAAACAAAAACACAAGGATAATTAACTATTGCTGCGCTGCTAGTGTGATCAAAGTGCTTCGAACCATAAGAAGAGTAAATAAAACTGACGACTCGCCTCGGTTTTATGGGCAACGCGCGTACAACCATTATCATATATCAAGACTAAGCCATTCACACATCATTTGAAAAATTAAATTTAATATTTTACGATTTGTGTGCTCGCTACGCATACAAAGCGTAGAAACATGAGCCAACAAAAAATAAAAAGTTATGCGCGTAACGCAATGTCTAAGTGCCAAAAGCAGAAACAGACAGCTCAGCCAGCTCAGCGGCGAAAAAAATTATAACAATAATAATAAAAGCAGCGGAATACAAGTGCCAAAAAAATAAAGAAAGCACACAAACGCACAAGAAACCGAGCTGGGGCTTTACTTTTACGACAGACCCCCGAAAAGATGTGGCATCCCAAAGTCCTGACACCCTGTACGCCGCCCCAAGTGTTGGCAAGTGTCAGGATCAGACGCTTCCGGTTTTTATATCTCGCCCACGGAGACGAACGGACGGACGGACAAATGCTATGTATAAATATAAATATAAACTTATATTTTTATGTTTATTTGGAGAGCCACGGAGGACACACGGAAGCACTCGCGGGCGCAAGAAAAAAAATGAAAGGAATGAAAAAAAAAGAAACCAGGACGAGTGCAGGGGCCACACCAAAAATACAAAATACATACGGCACCCAGCATTCCCTTTTTGCACGATAAACTTATACGAGTATGTGTGTGTGTTTGCCGGAGAACGAGAGTATGAATCACACACAGCTGCAGTGTCCTTTTTATATAGGAAGAACCCAGTCGGCAGGCAGGCAGCATTTATTGGCTGCTCGTTGTCGGTTTATGTGGCCCACAAGCCGAAGTGCCAGACGCCTGTATAGTTGTACATAATATGGAAGGATATGGCCAAAAACCAAAAACAAAAAACACAACAGGCACAACAAAATACATGCACGCAAAAAGCAAAAAGCGTTGTGGCTCTGGCTATGTAAATATGGCCAAAATCGATGCTCGCCTGGGTGACAACGGAGCCAAGGAACCCGAAACGGGTTAGAAGTTTCAAAAAAAAAGAAGCCGCAACTCAAATCGATTTTCTAGAAAAATCTGAGAAGTGTTTTTTTCAAAATGCAAAAAGATTGAACAAAATCTAGTAACACATTCTTATTTCAATTCACACATCTTTCGTTTCGAAACACTTGGCAAGTTTATGCAACAAAAGTCTTTTAGAAAACCCAGTAACACTTTTTTTCAAGTCAAATAAAACTGTTCTCAAGCACTTTTAGCAGTCAGCCATCAAAATAATAAAAACTTTTTCAAAAATAAATATCGAAACTGTTATAATTATTTAGTTTTTTTATTTCCAAGTTTTTAGTATTTATTATTTTTGTAAATTTTATATTTTTTATCATCATTCAGTTCTTGGTTAGTTTTTCATTTGTTCGGCTTTCGTTTATTTCACTTCGTCGATTTCTTTCCTTTTTTCTCGCTTTTTCTTACTTTTCGGTTTTTATTTTGAATTCTCTTTAGCGAGCAGTTGGCTTTCGGTTTGCTTTTGGTTGGTTGGTTGGTTTGTTTGTGAAATTATAATAACAACTTAACAACAATGTAACGAATATCCTTTCTTAACGAGGACACAATTCAAACTGAAAGCGAAGCGCCTTCGTCCGCCTCACAAATAGTCAACACATCGTACCGCTCCGCTTCGTTTACCGTTATTCTGCCGGCGTCGCTGCCGCTCCGAAATCCTTTCATCCTGGCCGATTGCCTGCCAGTCGTGCGGGCCAAAAGGAAAAGTGCCGAACGACAGCCGAAGTCTGAGAAGGAAAATCTCTCTCTCAGGCATGCGCATGTGGAAACTCGAAAAGGTTGCTGTCTCCGCTGCGGGTTTTTCCAGGATTTTCTTTAGATTATTTCTGGCAAATATTTCCCTACTTTCATCGCATTTTATGGCACACACTCACTGTTATACAAAACGGCTTAATCTCGTGCTGTTAATCTCTGCCTTATCATTTTTCCCAACAAGATTTAATTCTAACAGCGGTTTTCAAAGGCAGATTACATTAGCGCCCTTCTGCTCATTATGCAAAAGCCGCCGACTTGTGAGTGGAGTGTTCTTAAACGCTTTACACTGGGCAAACAAACAAAGGGCCAAACACACACACCCACACACATTCACTGGCCCCACATGCTATTGTTTATGCGCTCGAGAGCCAATAATCCACTTTTGTTTTGTTATCACTCCCTAGCCAGTGAAAAGCACCCACCATCCACCCATTCGCCACCCAAACCACCCGCAGCACTCAGCTCGTTGCGGCTGCTTTTGCCTTTGCCCTTGCCCGCCACCACTTAATTTCTACTTGATTTGTCGTTTAAGAAAACTAATTGTCTGCCTTTTGTTGAGCGTGAAAACAATGGGAAACATTTTAGCAACTGTTACTCTGCGCCGAAAGCGTATTAGACGCAGACCTCCAAAGACGATGGGCCCAAAGACGTCTGGGCGGCATTTTGCGGCCATGCGGAGGGAAAAGTGGCCAAGATGAGTTGTCTGAGTCGCAAATGGCTCTGGTTTTTGGTCAGGCAAGCAGGCAAAGAGACCGCCACGGAATATTCCTAGCCACTCTTCAAGGTCACTTGAGACTATTTCTAAGGCTCAAAGTTTCATTAGTCGCAAATCAGCTAAACAAAATTATGGGAAAGATAACTATCCCTCTAATGAAGCTTTGTACTTATGAGTATAATTAATTCTTTTTATAATTTTAATAAGTCAATTGTCAGCTATTTAAAATATTTTAACGCCCTAAAAACAAAGGCAGAATTCTGCAAGTTCCATGGTAGTTTCGAGATGATTTTACCAAAGCGACAATCTTCTTTTCTGTATCTCAAAGCGGCCTCCTGATCGATTTCCCGCAAAGCGGAAACGGATACGGATACCCATACCAATCTCACATGGCGGAATAACGAGGCAAACTCTGCGTTGCATATTCATGGGGCAGGCACAAACACAAACACAAACCCTCGTTGCAGGACGAAATGACGTCGATGGTGTAACAGATATCGGTTACGTTGCATGCAACAACGGCAGTGCAAAAACCTTCAGGGAAAAAAAGGGTTAAACTTGAGCAAAACCAACCGCAAAATAAGGAACTTGTCGCACGCATATTTGTAATGTTTAAATTTTCCTTTAACAGTAAGGTTTAGAGGTCTTTGCTCAATGAACATACAACATAGTTCTTAAAATGTTCAATTCAATTTTTATTTAAAAATATATTTCAATATTAATAAATTGTAAATATATAGTTTTAGCTTTTATATTATAGCTATAAGCCCTTAGTCCCCTAAAATTCTGGTTAAATAGAAATTAGGATTTTCTATTTATTAAAACCGAAACGTAAACCATTTCTTCATCTAAAGAAATATCTCTAAATTTCCTAGAAGATTGTTTATTCCTAGGATTTACCGACACTCCAATTATTGCCTGTGCTTGTTCCCTAGAAAACTTGATTAGCATTGACCTATTACAGGAATTTGGCATCCAATGATGGCTGGCCGAAAATCTATCTGCTGCATTATGCAAATGGGCAACTCCACCGTGACGACAATGATGAAATATGGGAAAAGCAGCATGAGCAGCAGAAAGTAAAGCAGCAACAGCGATAGCAACTCGGCGACACATTATCCTGCGACTAAATATGTAAAAACACAAACAGCAAGTGCACACACACACTTTCGCAGGACTCACGTGAGCGATTAAAATCTGAAGGAAAGTATTTCAGTTTTACCTTTTTTCGCTTGCTTTTTTGCTTTTTTTAGGGCTGCAGCCGAGGGTTGCTGATGTGCAAATGAGTTCAGTTGGAAGGGTTGCCGGGCTGTGCCAGTGGCAGCGGCGTGTAATTGGAGGCGAGTGTCGTGTAAAATGTAAAACTTGCGCCGTAAATAAATCAAAACTTTCTGACTGAACAAACATTCAGGTGAGCGAAAAAATGCAACAGCAACGGCAGAACGGTAGCGACGGCAGCAACAGCAGCGCCACCGGCAACATCAGCGGCCCAGCAGCAACATTTTCATATTGACAAGTGTGCCGAAGAGGGAAAGCGTGGATGGTGGAAAGTGGAAAACGGGTGGGCGGAGGGTAGAACTGGGAAAACTCAAGCAGCGGACAAAAACAAGGCTGCTGCTGGCGGGGTTATTTACACTAAAAATTGGAACAGCTGCAAAGCGAAGCACTTACAGCTGCTGCCGCGGGGTTTTTAGAGGAAAGGGAAAAGCGCGGAGACGAAAGCCAGCTGATGCAAATTTCCACCGGAATTTTAGACCTTTGAATGCCATTCTTGATTTAAATATTTCCTCATTTATTTGGTAATTTACCACATAACTCGGTAACCATTTCATTAGTAAATTATAATTTTAAGGCACTATGAAAATACCTTTTAAATTAAATTTTTAATTAACATTTTAAGTAGATAAAAAAAATATAGATTTTTTAGATCGATAATATTAACCAATCCAATCCACGACCTCCCACAATTCTCGCTCAGAAAAGAGTTAACTCGACCTTGCACCAAAAGACGAGAGAATCTTTAACCCATAAATTCTCCCCCATTTATTGATTTATTACATAATATGCTAAACACCAACCACACAAGGCGGAACAGAACGCAAAAAGTTTCGCTTTGATTTATATATTCATTATTCTATCATATTTAAGGGCGGGACGCAACGCACAAATGAAATGTAAATGGCGCTCTGGCAGCGGATTAATACGGTTTCCCCAACACAACGACTAAATAAAGTGAATTTAAGTTGAGGCCGAAAAAGTTTTGGCCGCAATCCGAAGCTCAAGGTGGTCAGGAGGCCGGCGTCTTTCACATTTGTATAGTCGTCATAAAATGATAAAAATATTAATATAAATAAACGGTGGAGTCGAGGAGTAGAGAGATCCCAAGACCATTTGCCAGTGCTACGGCTTTTGTTTGCCGGCAGCTCAGAGGAAAGTTTTTGATATCATCTTTAGCGAAACATTTCGGGGGGAGAAAAGGGCAGGGACTTTCGCATAAGTTGACAATTTTTTGTCGCTTTGGCTTGGCTTTCTCTGTTTTTTTCCCTATGCTTGTCTATTTACCGCCCTATGTATATGTATATTTTTGGGCCACAAACTTTTGCACCCAGCTGCCTTAGAGCCCCGTCCCATAATTGATGGTCAGCGTTTAACTTAATTGTATGTGGGAATCTGAGCTGCCGGTGGCATGGGCATGCTGATTGTGTCAAGATTTCATTTCAATTTGCGCCGCGATAAGGCTGCGTGACATAAAAGAAAATTGAAACGCCTGACAGTGGAGCTGTGGACTACTGGACCAAAAGGACCAATGGCCAATGGACCGCCGGAACAGCAGGATGGCAGCAGGATATCAGGATGGCCAGGTGCTACTGCTCCCGACGACCATCATTGCTGGACGTCAGAAGCTCGTCACGCACGTGCAGGTGGAGCAGTTTCAAAAATTTTTAATTGAATTTGCCACTGGACAGGGAAAGGGACTCGTACACAACAAAAAAAAGATTGTGACAATTTTGGCTTCCAGTTGTAATCTCATTTGTCAATCACATGTCAGGGTTTTTACTGTTCAAAATATATTTATGAAATGATCCCCAAGTCTTATCATTGTCAAACTCCTGCTTGGGAATCATTGATTTAAAGAAAATTATTTAAGATTAAAAAAAAGATTTTTTCTGAGAGATATATAAAAATACCAGATTTTTAAGTACCTATTTATTTAAAATATTTAAATTTTTAGGTAGGAGGAGGCTTAGTATTTAGTTCAATTTATTTAAAAATATTTAAATCGCTAATAAAAGTCCTATTTTATTTAGGAATTAAATTTTTAAATTGTATATATTTTTGGGTACTATTGCTTAATATTATATTATTATTATATTTTCCCCCAGTGCACTCGTACTCACTGTGCAGTGGCGGCATGTACTCCATTTCCTCGTCGGAGTCCTCCATGTCCTGGCCTCCTTCGGTCCTTGCTGGGACGTGGGTGCGCGGGGGCGTGGCAAAGGAGTTGGTACGCAGCGCCATTTCCATGGCACGCAGCGCGGGCAGGTTCCTGGGCAATTTGCCATTCTGCAACGGAGAACGAAGAACGGCGAACGATGGACCATTAAAATTAGACAATAAATAGATAAAGATGAAAATGAAAATAAGAACACGTGCCCGGTGCCAGGTCATTCCAATTTCGAGCGGAAGACAGTGCCCTAATTGAGGCATTCAACTTGATTACCGAGAGACCCAGAGAGCTGAGGACGAATGGCCAACCGGAGACTAATGCCAAGGCCGACAAATGTCCTCTGAAGTGGCGTGCAAATCATGAAAAAGGATTACACGTACTAAAACCTGGAATGGAAACAAATTCTCCCTTCCCCCTGTAGGTTAAGTTTAGTTATCCTCCTTCGGTTTTTCCTCTCATTTCGGTGACTAAAAAGCAACGATGTGACGACAACAATAACAACAGCCAAGGGGAGCAGCGGCCAGAAATCCAATTTCAGCAAGTAGCACGACATAAATTTGTTTTCTCCACACCAACATGGCACAGCAAAACACACACACTCACACACACATGGATGGGGTTGTCCTGGCTGCTGGCCATGTCCTGCAA